TCAGTTAAAAAAAAAAGAAGAAGAAGAAGAAGCAATGAACATAAAGTGTGAGAGTTAGATGAAAAGACTGATGGTGGGCTACAAGTGTATTTGTATGTTCTGTAAGTGTGCCCACGTATATAGTAGAGCTGACAAGGGACAAGGTTGTAGTCACTTCTTGGCCACAGTCAGGCTACCCAGAGAGACCAAGTAGTTGGACTGGTGGGCTCAGGACCATGGTCACAGAGGACATCAGGATCAACTGGCATGACATACTACACAAAAACATTGTTCCACATCCTACTTTGGTGAATAGCAACTGGGATCTTAAAAGCTAGCAAGCTGCCATCTAGATGCAACGATGGGTCTCTCCTCATCAAGAGCAAAGAAGATTGAAGAAAACCAAAGACTCAGAAACAATTAATCCAAGGGACTGGTATACCATGCGTTCCTCATCTTATACGACTATGAGAGCAGAACTAGATGGTGCCCAGCTACCACTGTCAACTACTCAGCCACTCGGAGGGAATCTATGTAGGAGATCCTGGATAGAGTGGGAAAACAATGTGGAACAAACCTCAAAATCACCTTAAAAAAAAAGGGGGGGGGGATCAGGTTTACTTCTCTGATAGAGCTGGTGGAACCCCTGAGACTATGGTCCCTATCTGCCTTTCAGGTCTAGAATTGAACCCACTCCTGTGGCTTCTATCCAAACACAAGACAGGCATATGAGCTGAACATTTATATTAGGTAGATACACTCCTTGGAGAGATCAGTCATGGGTGAATAGAAGAGCTGTGTAAGTGCAAAGAGACAGCTTGGGGGGCAGGAGTATATGGGAGGGAAGGACACAGGGAAGAGGTGGCTATGTGGAGGAAGTGGGAGGAGAGCTGTTGCATTGTGGGAGATTACAGTCAATGTCATGAGACAAGTGTATGTGAACTGTATGGAAGATGAATTTGCTCTGTCAACTTTCACCCAAATCACAATAAAATTAAAAAAAAAAAAAGACTGATGGCGGGGACTATGATTCATATAAGGCTCAGTTCATCTGCATGTGATGAAATTATAGCATTGACAGTATTTTAAGAACATCATCTTTTCACTGACAAAGTCCATTAACAAGTGTTTCTCTGTGACAAAAAAGGGGATAGATCAGGGGAGCCAATTATTTTAGCCAAATATGACCTATGTCTTAAACTCTCTGCAAGAACATACATGTAATGAAAACATCCCTCTCCTCTGGCAATTTTCTGAGCAATAGCCCTGCTATAGCTCAAAAAAGCAATGAAAAGCTGGCTATTCATATTTACATATATGTCAGGCTGAGTTTTCAAAACATTGTGATGTGCAAACAGAGTGGAGAATCGGCCTTGATAAGCAGTGTCAGCTCTCTTTAATCCACCCCATTTCATTACCAAGGGTTGAGTGCCATCACATCTTACTTGAACATTGATTAATTAGGTAGGAGACTTTTTTCCTGATGGTAAACAGTTTGCAACTTATTTTGAAAATACTCACACACAGACACCCAAATATTATGTGATAGAGTGAAAAGTTTGCAAGCTTTCTTAAGACATGAGATTTAGGTTGTGGTAGTCTCTGTTGACCTCCAAAGTTCATGGTTCTCTGCTATTAAGGATTGAGTAAAAACTTTTGAGAACTATATATTAAAGACCGAGTATGCTTTATCTTCTTCCACACTTTTATGCTGTCTTACATGGGGTTTGGCTTTCCCCTGCCTCACCACCCCCCCCCCCCCAGTAAGAGAACAGTTTCTCTACAGCTCTGTCAATGGAATCCAGATGGAAGGAGTTAAAGGGAGGTGATGATTAAACCAAGGTCATGTCTCAGCCCTTACCTTGAGATTGCCTTCACAGGAAAGGAGCTAAGGTGAAAGTGTGATGTGTCACAGGGTCCAACATCTCATATTTTATGACACGATAGATAGGAGAAGGTTGCTAGTCAGTGGAAAAACTAATCCAAAAGAGAAATTGCACGTGAGTGAGAGTGTGCATAGTTGACTATTTCTCAGCAAATCGAGATTTTATCAGCAGTGAGAACAGTGAAGTGCCTTCACAGGTGCCTCAGTGGGTTGGTGTTATGTGCCATTGAGTCGGACCCGACTCACAGCGACCCTTCTTGGGTTTCGGAGGGGGTAACAATATCTAATTTTTTAAAGACCTGTCTTCCGAGGTGCTTCTGGGTGTGTTTGAACCGCCAAGGTTTTGGCTAGCAGTCCAGTGCTTAACTGTTTGCACCACCATCCACGGACTCTGTTTTTTGGAATTTACCCCCAAGGCGGCGATGACAGCCTAGAAATACTTCTGACTTCCTCAGTCACCAGTCCCAGAGTAAAAGTCTGTACAAATACTTAAATTACCTCTCCCTCCTAGCAATTTTGCCTTTGGATTCATCTGTCCTTAGGCATAGGCAGGGTATGGTGTAACTGGGGATGCCTTGAAGGCAGTGGGAAGGGCAGTAGTGGGGTGGGGCTTGCTCCCGGCTGGAAGCAAGTCTAGCTATAGACGGTCCTCTCACAGAATCCAAGTGTTTCTCTGGGCCTGGGAAGTTTTTGCTCCCAAGTGACACTGGGGCCGGGGGCAGTATGTACGTACAGTCACATACTGACCAGCCCGGATGACGGCATCAAGGGCTCTGCAGCGCCCCAGGGAGAGGCCGCCAAGCTGCCGCTCCCTTTTGAATGAGCTCTCCCACGGTGCTCGTAGCGGCTGAGCTCCAAGGCCCTGAGCGCTGGAGCCATTCAGGGTCACCGCGTGCGAGGCTGGCCAGCCCACTTCCGCCGGCCTGGGTGGCCAGGGCG